AAAAAACCATTAGGACCAGAAAGATAGCTATCTTCTATTGATAATGTAGAACAGCTTGTGCTGTCCTCCATAAAAATGTCCTCCATTTATTTTAAACTTTTATTTATACTGGTAGTTTCATTGAGTCACGAGGACCCATCCCCCAAGAGCGATGTGTATTGGGCAGCTATGTGAGCGCTCGGTTGTGACGAAGCTAAATGTTTTGGCTGCATGAAGCTCGTTAGCTCGTCAAAAAAATAAAATCAAATCCATAAATTAGCCGCAGCTTTGCATAAGCAATGTTTAAAGCCTGAGAAAAAAGTAGCGGCTTATAGTCTGGAAATTACGGTAAAGCTTTCTCTTACAGTGATCTCAAACACTCCACATACAAGAAAGTAAATATCAATAAACAAATCAGAGCATCTTTATGTCTTTTTGACATGCACTCCATGTCAAACAATAGAGTAATTTAAAGCAGTTGAAGTTGACTGCATACAAATATGAAAAAATATATTTTTATGAGGATGACCTGACACCTAAAAGTCACTTAATCATGATATTTTGATTGTTTGATTCATTTTTATTTTAATTTGATGTTTTTTTTTAAATGTAATTTCCCTTATCTAGGCTGAACTTCAGGTATTTGTGAAAACACTTTGGCAAGAAGAAATGTTGGTGGTTTAGGGCAGTTCTGGGGGGAAACAAAGATTAAGGTGGCTGATTTGAATTTCACCTCATTTACGTTGGTACAGAAGATTGGATCTGATGTAGGAGTTGACACAGATAAATTTAGTCTGGATAAACTTGCAGCAGTAAAAAATAAATCAATTTAAGAGTAAAACTTTAGCCACAAGCAGAAAATTTTTATTCTATCAACCTGTTTCTGCAGCTTGTTAAGGAAGAGATATTAAACGACCTGCGTTCAACCTGAGCTGAGGGGAAAACATCAGTCACAACAAGTTTTCCTGCATTGTTTCAGTCTTTAGTTTGGTACATTTAGTTTTTTTCTGCAAATCAGCACAAAAGTTTCACCTCCCCAAACATGACAAAGTGTCAGCTGGGATGATAAAGCATGAGGTGCTGTCATTCTGTCAGCTTGGACTGATCAAGACGGAAAAAAAAAATACATACCAAATGAGGTGGATTGAAAATTACATCAGTTTCTGTTTTCATCTTTCCGTCTCCGACAGCCTCTTTAACACTTGGTGAAATAGATCCTAATCTCTAATTATCCTAATCAAATACGCTTTCACATTGTTTTAAAACTCAGAACTTAATTACTTTTTGGTTCGATGGTTTAATGAACTAGTTTGTCTTTAACTGAAACCGATTGCTTCCAAACAGACGTACTGAAATAATGTTTGATATTTTAGTTTGTAAAAGCAACATTATTTAGTATGTTAAACAGACTAACTGCCTGATTCTTTGTGCGCAGGCTCCTTCTCCTTCTCAGTGCTGTCAGGGAAAGTCATGTTCAGAGAGGTTTACTTCATCAACCAGGACATGTCTATCAGGTAACTCATCTGTTGTTTATGCTTTAAGTCACTTTGGTGTTTCGTAGCTTACTTTACCATTTAATATTTGTCTTTGTGTGTTGCAGGATACAAGATGGCTTTCTCATATTTCGCTGGTGGAAAATGTACAACCCAAAACAGAAACAACATGGTGAGCAGAGAAAAATGTGCATCTTTTCAGTTTAAACTTGACTGACGGGTAAAACCTTCTTAAGTTGAGGACTTTTAAAGGTAAACTTTAATGTGTAAAATGGACAAATATGAGAATTTATTTGCTTTGTTAGATGTGTGCTTGTTTTATCACAATATGCAGGACAATCAGACTTATTTGATACAGTGTGAAGAGCATCATTGGTACCTGTTGCTCAGTGATGCTCCACATCTTGTTTCATAAAGGGATTTTATTTTGCATTCTGTAATCATACTTCTCAGAAACTATAAGTCATTTTTCAGTTTGTCTGCCGATGTCAGGCCACCAGTTGTCTCCTTGTCTTTCTAACAGATCCAAAGGCAGAGACCAGGCTTTATGTGACGGTCAATGGCTTTGAGTTTCACGTCTACAACCGGACTGACCTCTATGCACGGCTGCAGGAGACGTTCGGACTGGAACCCACGCTTTTAAAGCCCAAGAAGGAAGAGGAGAAGGGACAAGAAGACAGAAATGAGACGCAGGAAAAGTAAAAACCCTATGGCTGTTTTTTTATTCTTCTCAGATTTCAGTTTTTAAGAAAAACAAAATCAACACTGATTTTAAATTTGGTAAATACAAAGACCCACCCTCCAAGAGGGGCATGTATTGGGCAGCTTTGTGAGCGCCCAGGTGTGACGAAGCTAAATGTTTTTCGTGAGAAGAAGCTCATTATCTCGTCGGGGGGAGAAAAAAAATCCATGAATTAGCTGCAGTATTGTATAAACCGTGGGGTTCAAAGCGTTTGACAAAAGTAGAGGCTTATAGACCGGAAATTACGGTATTGTAGAAGCTATATAAAATAAACAAACAAACAAAAAAAAAAACTATTGGATTCTGAAAGTAGTTTTCTTCAGTAGCTCTTCTTACCAAAGAACATTTTCTGTACAAAAGTCCTGACTCATCCCTCATTTTTTACTTGTAGAAAAAACTGCCAAAATACTAAGAAAATCTTTAAATGACCTTCAGAAAGCTTAGAAAATTATTATTCAGGATCACTTAAAAGATATTACAAGAAAGCCTCCATGGAAGTAAAATATAAAGAACATAGAAGTGCTTTAAACTTTTTCAATTTAACCTGCATTCATTAATCATAAAACCAGCCCCATAAACATAAAGTGCTGCTTGTATTGATGCATGTTAGTGTTTGATGGGAAAACTTGGATGCTGACTTTAATATACAGTAGCTGTTATTTTGACTTCAGGCTCCCTAAGTATTAATCTAATACATTTAATGACCTTTGTGGGAAGCAATTGCACAGATGATGTTGGTTCTTAACAACATAAGTTGTTGAGAACTTTGTAGGTTAGAAGTACGATTTTGATTTCAATTCTGGACTTGACAAGGGAGCCAGTGGAGAGAAGCTAAAACTGGAGAGAGATGATCTCTCCCACTAACTCCAGTTAAGACTTTGGCAGCAGCATTTTGGATCAACTGAAGATGTTTTAAAGAAGTATTTGGACACCCAGATAATAAACCGTTGCAATAGTCCAGTCTGGACGTGCCAAATGCATGAACCAGTTTTTCTGCATCATTTTTAAATAAGATGTTTCTAATTTTAGTGATATTACGCAAATGAAAGAAGGCGGTTCTAGTATCGTTTTTAATGTGGGGGTTAAAAGACATGTCTTGATCAAAAATAACGGCAAGATTTTTAACATTAGAGCTGGAGGCCAGATTAGTCTCCTCCAGGGAGGGCGAAAGACTGAAAAATTTATTATGCTCTGGTCTAAAAACCAAAATCTCAGTTTTGTCTGTATTCAAAAGCAGAAAATTAAGTGTTATCAGGTTTTTATGTCTTTACGACATGCTTGTAGTCTAAGTAGCTGATTGGTTTCATTGGGTTTCATGGACAAATATAACTGTGTATCATCAACATAACAATGAAAATTTATCCCATGCTGTTTAGAGTCAGAGTCAGAGTTTCTTTATTGTCATTCGCACCTCATGTGGTACATGTGGTGGAGCGAAATTATGTACACAGGGTCCCAGTTACATCCAACAATAAAAAGTATAAGAAAAACAGTAATAACATCTAAGATATGAACTAAGAAAAACATCAACTAAATATACACTAAGCACTCATAACATAAAACATTGAACATCAGCACAAACATGAACATGAGTCTGTGAGCAGATGTGCACGCATGAACACATCAACATTGAAACAGATCAGCAGCAACATGATATGGTTTTTCACAGTGATTATTCTAGTTAGAGATTCATGAGTCTAACAGCCTCAGGGTAGAAGCTGTTCCTCAGTCTAGTGGTTCTACACTTAATGCTCCTTAACCTCCTTCCTGAGGGGAGTGGGGCAAAAAGTGTGTGTGCTGGGTGAGTGGGGTCCTTCATGATGCAGGTGGCCCTCTTCCTGCATCTGGAGGTGTAGATGTCTGTGATGGTGGGGAG